TTGCGTCCCTCTAACTCTTCCTACCAATATGACCAAGTTGCGAAAACAAGGTCAAACAACTTCTATATGAGTTAATTTCACCATATTTCTTTTAAAGTGCTGAAGGGCGGCTAGTAAAATTTTTCCACAATGATATGAATTAAGCCTACGTATCCATTGAATTTCAAGAAGCCTTGATTTTCCAAAGGTTCTTCAGATCCAGGTTGGTCTGCAGCTACAACCTCGCCTAGGACTAATCAGCAACCCTAGCGGGAATCGAACGATTAAAGTGCACCATGCTAGCTTTTTCAATTTACCCACTCAGCCACATTGCCACTAGGGCTCTTGTGTTACAGGGCAGATGTGAATTTCAAGGAAGGACAGAACTTATTTCGTTTCACATTATTTGGTGGGATTGTCGATGAAGCCAAAATATTGTTGCTATAAGAATGGACTACATTACATATTTTTCGTATATTACCGTAGTTTCGAGACTCTCAGTATATCAGCTAAATGAGATTTATTCACCATATTACGTTTAAGGTGATGAAGGATTGGTAGTAGAATTATCCCACAATGATGTGAGTAGAGCTGAGGTTTCCATTGAATTTCACATGGCCTTGCTGCCCCAAAAGTTATTCTAATCCATGATGAATTGCAGTTTGAAACTCGCCTAAATTTTTTCAACAACCCCAGTCGGAGTCGAACCATGAAAGTGAAGCATGTAAGCTTCACACACATGTGAATTTCAAGGAATGCAAAGCCTTATCTGATATCGCATTATTTGGTGGGAACTTTGAAGAAGCAAACGAATTTTTGATATGGCATTCAAATACATTACTTATTTTCCCTATACATAGGCATAGTAACGAGACTACCAGTAAATCATCTTTATGAGATTCATTCAAACTATTTCGTTTAAGGTGATGAAGGGCTGGTAGTAAAAATTTTACTACAGTGATTTGAGTAGGGCTGACGGTTCCATCGAATTTAACATAGACTTGCTCTCCTAAAAGTTGTTCTCATCCATTTTGGACTGCATTTTGGTCTCGCCTAAATCTTATCAACACCTTCAGCGGGATTCGAACCGTGGCAGTGCATAATGTGAGATTGACACATTAACCACTCAGCCACATTCCCACGTGGGACGTTGGGTCACAGGGCACATGTGACTTTCATTTAAGGTCAAAGCTTATCCCATATCACATTATTTCGCGAGAGTATAGATAAAGAAAACTTATTTTTGTATAACAATAAATTACATTATTTTTTTCGTATGTAAGCAGAGTTTCGACACAGCCAGTAAATCAGTTATATGATATGTATTCACCCTCTTTCGTTTAAGGTGACGAAGGACTGGTAGTAGAATTTTTCCACAATTATATGAGTAGATTCAACGTTTACGATGAATCTCACATAGCCTTGATTTCGAAAAAAGTTGTTTTCATCCAGGATAAATTGCAGTTTCGACCTCGCCTAGGTCTTAGCAACACCTCCAGACAAACAGAGACCCTGCAGCACGTAAGTTTGACACGTTTTTCACTCGCCCACCCTGTAACCACATATACCTCGCGGCAGTGTGGCTGAGTGGTTAACGTGTCAAACTCACATTCTGCGCTGTCACGGTTCGACTCCCGGTGGGAGTGTTTATCAGACCTAGGTGAAATCAAAGCTGCAGTCCCCCCTGGAGTAGAACAACTTTTGGGAAAGCAATGCTATGTGAAATTCAATTTAAACGTCAGCTGAACTCATATCATTGTGGGAAAATTCTACTACAATTAATTCATCACCTTAACCGCAATAGGGTGAATATATCTCATATAACTGATTTACTGGTAGTCTCGAAACTCTGCTTATATACGAAAAATCTTTATGGTGTTAGCTCGACCTTATTTTCGCATTTGGACGTAGCGTCAGAGACATTTGGCATAGTATTTGTGATCTCCAGCAATAGATTATTTCATATCACTGATCTAAAACAATCTTTGTTGTATTTTCTTCGTATGATGATTTTTATTCCCTTTTCGTTAATATAAATATGCGCAGATTTGATGCATGTTATGCAATAAACTCTCGGAAAATTGAATTTTCACCCAGCCTTATGTTGTGTGGTGAACGTGAATATACAAAGAAACGAAAGATTATGCCAATATGATTAGGCTCCACCAAACTCACCTATAAGAGAAAATCTCAGGAGTATCCTAGAGTAATCAAGTTATACATTGTGATAAAGAGGGATAGAATATAGTTGTATGCACTAAGAAAGATGGTGGAGAGATTCCAATCGTTCAGTCTAAAGCCGGTCAATGGATTGACTTCCCTTGTCTCTTTGACGTGTCATAGTTTAATATCAAGAATGTCAAGGCTCAATAGAATGCCGACTATAATGCAGACAAAACTTCTTTGAGCGTAACAAGTCCAAGATCCGACGCAGAAATGTATCGCTATAATGGCGAACATTTCGATGAGGTGCGATCACCTAGATCTCTAACAGCAGGACTGAATTGCAAAAATGAAATTAACGAAAGGAGACAATGATCAAAATAGAGGCCTCACAATTTTGGTCTTCATGCCCTCAATCAGGAGCTAAAATGAATAATAATAACTGGCAGAGGACGCCTGATAATGTATGTTCCTCAAAGTTGCCTTGACAACATGACTAAATCACGGAAATGAGCGCCATCCAATTCTTTATAGAGAAAGAGATTTTGACCAAGATAAATAGCACACCATCTTGTTTTTCATAACTTCGATTTGACTACAGCAATTTGCAAAATAAAGACGGAGAAAGAAGTCAAATATAAGATAATCATGACACTTGACCGTTTTTAATTAGTACGAACGTTGAGGCGTCACTGCTGGATTCTGTAACTTCATAAGACATGATAATTAGGACAAGCTTGATGCGATTCATTACCACGCCTCCATGCAGGGAGCAGAGGAAACTTAGCCTCGTGAGAGCAAGTTAATTAAGTTACTAGATAATAAGAATAAATTCAAATGGGATATAGCCTCAAGGATTTACAAAAACTCCATAGTATGACCGACAAGCGGTCACAAAATATCCTGGACTTGATAAATTAGAGACTGGATACAAAATGGTTTAAAATGCCTCATAAGATGAAGCCCAAAAGCCAAAATGTGAATTAAAAGTTGGCAACAATCACAGCTTCATATGACGATGAGAATAAAGTAATGCAAAATTTCTTGATCCTTTTTGATTCCGAAGCCACTTTAATCCTTAACAAGGATTACATTTTTCCCGAAAACTGAATTAAGCTGGACGTAAGAAATATTTCCGATAATTTTCAGGAAGCGATAAAAAGAGGAATTGGCATGGAAATAATTTGAAAATCTTGACATATTAGGAGCCCACAAGCAGGAGTAGATTAATGTGGATACGCAGAACACTAGAAATAAAATGTACAAAGTCCTTCAGGCAGATAACTGGGGAGTGGCAGTAGTGTTGGGCAGCATATTAGGATACAGAACCACATATTAGATAGTAGGAAAGGACTCAACATTGAAGATCAATATGACATTACAGTAAGTGCCTGAAGAAATGGATGATAACGGATAAATCGACAATTGGATGGCGTAAAGACAGCGAGAACCTATGGATTACCGAATACACACGAGAAGGAAGGGCTAATGTCGATTGCTAAAGCACACGTAAACTGGCGATTTTTAAATGTCCAAATCTCACGAAGTCTTGCCAAACGCCATGAAGAATTGATATAAAATTTATAAAATGAACAAAATCATAGAACAAAAAAGAGCACAACTGTTACCAATTTAAATCTCAGAAGAAAAGAGGCCAGAGATCTTGGAACAAAAGCGAGATCTTTGGTAAGGAAGGCGCCTCTAAAGGAAGGCTCTAGTAAATGTGATCAGCTGGACAGTAAGGCTCATCTTCTTCACATTCAACGGCATTATATAACCAAATAGTTTGGCCACCTATTACCTCTTGACAAAGATACATATATACCTATTAAAGAAGACTTCAAGGTGTCAACGCATTCTTGGTTAGATCAATTCCTTAAATTTTTAACCGGCTTGATGAAAAAATATAATAATTCATTATGCGGTTTGGGGATGAGGAGTGACTACTATTATCAAATGTCGAATAAATTTCTTTCAATGGGACACTCAAAAGGTGATTAAGCAGAAAGAAATAACAGGCAGGAATGAACCTAAATTCGAAATCTCATCAAAACCCTAAGAATAGGAATACTAAGGAGTACTAAGGAATACTAAAGAATTGAGGAAATTGAATTCGATGGTTCTCTGTAAGGGCTTTTCGAAAGGTAGCATAGGAGGAAATATATGGGAAGTAAAAAGCAAATGGCAAGATGAACACTATTTTTTTAAAAAAGGTAGAAAGATGCATAATACCTGGTATGCCAACCATTTTGTGTACTAACTCGGAAACTACGGCCTATACTAAGAAAACATAATATTCATGTGATTACGAAAGATGTAGCGACACTTTTTATGGACCTACACATGTCTATATAGAAGCATGTATACCATGATGCGGAAAATATAAATGTAACCAATTTTGTTTCGGTAACATTGACGTGTGAATTTAAGGGATTTGTTGGCAAAGGTCAATCTGAAATAAGGGTTTCTATTCTGCTGAGCGCCAATCTAAAAAGGGTTATGTTGAAATCGCTAGAGCCAATTGGGTATCGTACTCCTGCTTTAATTATCTAATTATCTCTTATTCGTTATTTGATATCATTATATGTATACCCTTATACTAACATAATTCATAAAACTAAATATGACAGAAATATTGATTCAGAGCCTGTACAAGGTACAACCATTTCGCCAGAGTGATTTCAATTATAGTGAAATTGCATAATTGCACCGACCATTATCTTATAATAATTTGTTAAAACCTATAGTGACAGTATTTAATATAGACATTTATGAAGTGGTGTTTTTCTCTACTAGCGTGGGAGTGACCACTTACAGTTTGATATACCATATCAGAGACCTTTTTTAATATCTGTCGCATTCACTAGAAGGAGCGCTATAAAAGGCAGCAGGCATGTCGCGGTCTGGTTGGGAACTTCGTTGGTCTACTTCTCTGCCTCACTGTCCTGGTGATAACGCTGTATCTGGAACTGAACCAGGATCACAACTCACTGCTTCACTATAGGTTGCACTCTGGGGAGGTGATGTTTATATATTTGGTGACGCTTGGCCTCACGTTGGTGGCCTTCGGTTTCACGTTGCGCCTCAAATTCACTGTCCACTTTACACCTCACAGCCTTGATGAGAAGCTGCTCGTGGTCACCTACTTCGTGACAGTGAATTACCAGATCTCTTCAATCGCCATGTGTCTACACTATCTCAGTCAGGTGAACCTGGTCGCTAGTCATCAGACACTATTGCAAGTAGGCCTTGTTGCTCGACTTGTGGAGCTTGCTCAGGCCAGTCTGCAAACTTTCTTCATTCAAGACGCTTTCTACCGATGCAGCCAAGACGAGGCTACCAAGCACAAGAAGCCAGGTCGCGATTTTATAGCCATTCTTTTGGCAGTCAACTTCTCTCTATGGATGATCAAGAGCTTTCAGGTTTGAAATATTGCGATAACGAGGTCATCTCATAAGTGAGTAAATAATGACTTACTAAAATATTCAGACGGTGGTGATATCCGGACTAGTAGTATTGTAAAAAAGTTCCATAATCAAATGGGATAAACCCACAGGAATCTAAGAAATATCCTTGACCCATAGATTGAAATATGAAAGAAAATTTGTGAAATTTTGGATGGCGAAATTTAGAGTTATCCAAAGCATAATTGGACTGAATTATTGCCGAATCTTCCTCAAGTTCTTTTAGAAATTCATCAATGAAAATATAAGTGCAGAAGAATCCAGGATGCTATCCTTTTAGTAACTCCCTCCTCCAATTCTGATGGCAATTTTCATTTGTTCCGAGCGTTGCTATTCTTACTGAGAAATGAAATTTATATCAGAGTGCTTCATTTTCTCAGTTTAACGATCCTCCTTATTCAGTAAACCTATAAAGAGATGCTGTCCCTGTGTGAAAAATCCTCGGAGCAATGCAGAATACTATTGACATTGAGGAAGGCAAAATGATTCAAATTAAATTGGATTAAGATAGAGCAAAAGATACTCGATAGCACTGATCGGGAAAGAACCCTTTAAATGTCAATAAAATGAAGAACATCCTTCCTAATATTGCAAAGTAGTAAGTCTGTTTTTGGATGATATTCTTTCACTTACTGCATGGCAAGACAGTCTGAAAATGTTAACTGGCAATAGAAAGATCCATAAGTGCGAAAAAGCACAGAAAGAGTTCTATGAGAGAAAGTGGACTTTTAAAATGTGATTCGAATTCATTACTATCACTAGTAATAATACTTATTACTATTCGTTAATAATAAGTTAGTCACTTTAAGTCCTTTAAGGCGAGTTAAGGACTGATACTTGAGTTATCCCACAATGATATGGCCTCATTATGTCATACAGGTCAAAAGGTTTTAATCAAGGACGGATGATATTTTGCAACTAACCTAGGGCCCCAGCGGAATTCTATACCGGGCTGTATGCATGGTGGCGACGTTATCACTCGACCGCGCAACTACAAGTGCCTAGAAAAACACATATATAAAATAAGTAACGTCGTATATTGCAATGGCAAAAGGAGCTTTCTGAATCGACAATCCTGTTGTAAATTTTAGTTATAGAATCCTGGCCCTTGAATAAAAATAACTCTGTTAATTCTCTTTCATTCAAGGTGATGAAGGAGAGGTATTTGGATTTCGACAGGTATTTGAGTAGGCCTA